TCCTGCCCATCACAGCAAAGCTGCAACCCTGGCAAGCCCCGGCGGCGGGTGGAGGTGAGCCATGTGAAGCCCGTTTGCCCCCCACCCGTGAAAATCCACCGCCGGCCGCTGCAGCAGTATCGCCCATCCCAGCACAGCGAGGAGACAAGTTGCTGTGGCAAGCCCCGCAGGCGAGTGGATCAATGTCCCGTGCAGAAGACCTGCCCACCCGTGATACTGCATCCTCTGCCACCGCAACGTCACTGCCCCTGTATCCCATGCTGCCGCCCACCCGTCCAGCACTGCCGCCCACCCGTCCAGCACTGCTGCCCAGCCGCTGTGCCCCTGCCACCACATCCCAGCCACCACCAGCAAAAGCAGGTCACTCTCTTGCCACCCTGTTTGCAGAAGAAATGAGCACAGGACCAGCAAGGCGCTGGGACCCCTCCCCAGCACATCCCCATGCCCTGCTCAGCGTGGCGGATGCTCACTCCTTGCCCAAACTGCCGGTGGTCCCACCGTGGCTGACGGCTCGTTGCTGCTCTTTGCACACTGGATTTGGGGTCCACAGTCCCCTGCTTGACCTCAGCACCAGCACTTTACATTCCCAGGGTCTTCGCCTGCCACGGAATAGGGTTTAATCATCCAAAACTCACTTCTCAGAGTAGACTAGATGGTTCTCCCCTCTTCAAAGAAGGTGAGCAGCCTGGGAATGGACAAACAGAATGGAAAGAGCCTGAACAAGGATGGGCAAACAGCCCACCATGGATTCGCCTCCTCCCATGAGTTCAGAGGACTGTGATTTCAAGGTTGTTCAAAAATGGAGACAGGACTGTACTGGGAAAAAAAGTACTCACCGTGACTGCAGGAGCATCAAGGGCTCCTACAACTTTATTTTCTCCCTGTGTATTCAAGAATAAAGTTGAAAAAAATGTAGTTGATGCTTGGTTCCCTTTTTTTTTACCCCAAAAATATCACCTGTGTTACAATGAGTAGATATTAAAAGTCATTAAAAGCCTCACAAGAAAACTTGTGAATTTAAAACCAAAATTAGAGTCCACACTGGAGGATTTCAGCTCTGGCTGTTGTGGTTTCACCAGGCTGAACTCCATCTATGGTGTAAAACCCTCTCCACTGTGGTTACCCACCGCAGGACCAACGGATGGGCTTCACCACGGTCCATCAGCTAGCGATCGAGGCACAGTTTGCTCTCTGCTCTGTGCCATCACCTTCAGTAGGCAGTTAGGAACACTGCACCATCGTATAAATGTCAATCATGATAATAAGCGTGTGCCCCAGCACACAAGGCGTGTCCGTGCATGCCAGGAATGTCTTTCACTCGGTGCAGGAAGATGGGTGAGGATCTCCTCCCGCAGCTCCCCACTGCCTGGCAGGCACGCCGGTAACATGCTGTTTCTTCACTTTGCTTGGAAAGCCTTTCACTAGGTGCATCAAAATACATTTTTCTGTTTCTTTGTATTCTCTAAATACAGCCCAAATATGTCCTCACAGCCTCTAGGAACCATGAAGGAAAATCAGAAAGAAAAATACAGAAATTCATTCTTACTTTCTTCATGCAGAAAACTGCAATTATTTGTTTTTCTCATGTCTCATTTTAACCAAAGAAAAAACCCACTTACATATGAACTTTACCTTCAGAAATCCCTTATTTTATTAGGTGATTTCTTCCCAGCCTCTTCTCCCCAAAGCTCACTGGGGGAATCCAGTTCCCAGGTGCTGCCCTGGCGCCGTGCCCCAAGGGCTGACTCAGAGCCCGCAGACCAAGGGCCAGCTTAGCCCTCGTGCCAGTGCATGCTTCCACTTCCAGGTCAGCTTTTGTCCATCTTTGATTTCAAGATGCTTTTCAGTGGCCACCCCAGTCAGTCCATCCATTTCTCAGCCTACCCATATCCCATCCTGCAGGAGTTTCAGCCACTCACCCCAATTTGGTGCCACTAATGAAGATGCTATCAGCCAGCTTTTCACCCATCATGGAGTTAACTCGTCTAGTCCATATCTCCACCAGTTTAACGACAAGGCTGCCTTGGGATGCTGTGCCGAAAGCCTTGCCAAAGTTGAGGCAGCACCATCCATCACTGTCCCCCATCCACAGAACCAACCTCTTCATCATCGAAACCCATCAGCACAATTTGCTTTTGGTGAGTCTGAGCTGGCTCTTCCCAGTCACCTGCTTGTGCTTCAGGCACCTGGAAACACTCCTCATGGGTAGCAGAAGGTGAGGGCCAGGACATCAGCACTGTGCACATCACGGCTCCTGACTCACAGGTCACCCGTCAGCCTCCACTCAGTGTCTCGCTCCTCTCGAGATGGTGAATAAGTACGTTATTACCCGACTCACATAGACGATGTGTGGCTTAAACGATGTGAGTCCTTTATGTGCAGCACTCGGCAACTACATTATAATTAAGAGATGCTTATCACGAATCATGAGTCAAGCAGAATATGCTAAGCGCTGGGAACAGCATCCAAATGGAGGAGATGTTTTGTCAATAAATAATTTAGTCCTCGTTCCTGCAGCATGTTTCATTTACGAGGGGAAGACTTGGAACCGTATAAAAGGCTTCTGTCCCTTTGCCTCTCACAATCTGCTCCCCTGGTCAGCGTCTGCCTTCCCTCGAGAATTGGGTAAGACACATCCTGGAGCAGCCGGGTTCATTTTTGGGTGGGTTTCTGGGTTCAAGATGTCATGGAATTGGCACGCTTACACTGTCCTTCAGACCATGCTCTACATGCAAGGGCTAGAGGATGGTGGGCTGAGCCAAGAAAGAAGCTACTGGGGGACTTGAGGATGGGATGTACAGCAATGCTGCAGTGCCTTATGGTTGTTTCTGGTGTTGGAGGAAAAAAAAATCAAGGGTAAGGTCAGAAAGAGGGTTTGGACATAATGTGACCAGTATTGGGCAATTGCAAAAATTCCCTTTACATCAGGGTTTTCAGGATAAAGACTGTTGACCTGTGCATGTCTTACTAAAGCAGATTTAAGGGAAATTAAATGAAAACTGTGGAGTTGGAAATTAAAACCTATCTGGCCGTGTGTTTTTCAGGTTT